CAAGTGCAATCTTGCTCTCACCCTGACAACATCTACATACACAAGTCTCAATTTTACCTGCAAAAGGGATTCATGTCTCTGATAGATTTCAGTAATTTCCCCACTTGTAATGTTAAACCAATACATTGGGCAATGGGTGATACCTCTCTCCTGATTTTCCAAGCCCAAATTTCAATTCCTGAGTCCAAGAAACCATGTGTGAAATCATGACCAATCCCTAAAACTTTCCTTACCTTCTTGTCATACGCCGAGATAGAAATGGTTAACGTTGTGGAAACTCGTTTGTCTCACAGGGATACAGGTGGAATCACTGCCTGACAGCAGATCTTCATCAGGGTTTTGTGAGTAAGTCAACCAGGAGTTCAGGAATGACTGCAATTCCAGTCAGGGTAATGTGTGAATGGAGGAGCCCAGGAGTAAGGTGACCTCACATTTCCTGGAGCTCAAGAGGCAGCAAGACCCCAACCAATTTTTAAAGAAAAAACACCTTTCTGGGCATCTTCTCGCCCTTGCTAGAGTTTCTGGAAGGCAGTGCACCATGTGCCAAAAATTAAAACTAGTGTACAGAGAAAAGTCGTAATCAGAAAAGCTAATGGAACTTTGAATTTTATCTCATGGGGGTTGGAATGCCAGTCTGTGGAAATTATGCTTTAATTGGAACCATAGAGGAAACTATGTTTCATTCCAGATTCTAAACATCAAGGATTTATCGCTATACAGCGCATAGCTGAACGGTCGAATTATGAAGTGCTGATCCAGGTTTAATATGATGAACAAATTTGTAAGGGTAAGTACAGAGAGTTGATTTCCTCTGCCGGAGGTATTTTTTTCATTCATTCACAGGATTGGATTGTCACAGGCGAGAGTAGCATTTATTGCTCATTCCCAATTGCCCTCAAAAAGTGTTGGTGAGGTGCCATCTTAAACTGCTATAGTTTATAGGGTATAGTACACCCACAGTGCTGCTTGAAGAGCAGTTCAGAGAGTTCAAAGATCTTGACTCAGCAACAGTGAAGGAACAGCGGTATAGTGCCAAGTCTGGTGGCTTGGAGGGGAACTTGCAACTGGTTGAGATACCACGCATCTGCTGCCCTTACCCCTCCAGGCAGTCGAAATCAGAGCTTTGGAAGTGCCAAGGGGCTTTGGTTAGTTGTTGCAATGCATGTTATAGGTGGTACACATTACTGAGTTAGGGGTGTTAGACGGATGCCAATCTAAAGAGCGTTTTGGTTCTAGATGGTGTACAGCTTCCTGACTGTTGCTGGAGCCGGACTAATCCAGGCAAGGAATATTCTATCAGACTCCTGAACTGTGCCTTGGTGGATGACGGACAGGCTCTGAGAAGTAAGGAGGTATTTCACTTGGCACAGAATTCCCAGTCTCTGACCTACTCTTGTGGCTACAGTATTTATACAACTGGTCCAGTGAAATTTCTGGTGAAGAGTAAATCCCTGGATATTAATAGTGGGGATTTCAGTAATGGTAATACAGTTGAATTTTAAGAGGTAATGGTTCGATCCTTTCTTGTTGGAGATGGTACTTGACTGTATGAACATTACTCATCACTAAACAGCCTGATCCAAACAAAGGAGCAAATTCTTAACAAAGCTGATGATTTAGGACTGCAAACAATAAGCATTTTTCCAATAAAGGATGGTAGAAATCTGGAACTCAACCCCAAATGACTGTGGATGTTAGATTTACTGAAATTGCCAAGACGGTGATGAAGAGATTTTTATTGGATAGGGAATCTGGAGCGAAGGTAGAGAATGGATTTGAATTATAGATCAGTCAAGATTTAATTGAAAACGACAACAGGTCTGAAGGGCTGAATGTCCTGTCCCAATCCTTCTACGACCCTATGAAATTAGGGATAGATGCTGCTGCTAACATTAAGATTTGTTGTCAGCCTAATTCTAATTGTTAAAATGGAATGTTTTTAATCAGCTCGGCAGTCTACCTCCAGACAGCTAACTAATTAAATAAAACAAGGTGGAACTGACTTATTTTTCTATTAGTGTCTGTCATAACCCCATGATGTCCCAAAGTATTTTACAACCAATTAACTCCATTTGAAGTTGTACTGTCGTTGTCTTGCTGCCTTTGCTGTTGACGTATATTTTGAGATTTTGGAATTATCTGGTTTCTAATTAAATGTCAGCATGATTTCCCTTCAACGTTCTTCCAATTTTACTTACTTTAAAAATTAATCGGTTAAGTTATTACTCTATCTTTACTATAATTATTGTTGTTCCACAGTAATGATGGAGTTCATGGTTCAACTATAATTAGGAGCACAAACTCTTCCTTGGGAGATAAAGACGACCAGCTCAGTAGCCTACTGTAACTGCACTTCCTAAAATTGTTTTTAAGTCATGTCAAGTTCTGAACACGAAAACATCAAAATTAAAAAGGGGATTTGTGAACAGATCAAAAAAAAGTAACAAATTTGCATCCCCTCCCCACCCAAATATACGGTTTGAAAGTTTGCCATCATCTGTCTGTTGGAAAACAGCTGCCTTTAAGATTTGAAATATCAAACAAGTAGCGGAAGGAAAAAAAAAATTCAACAAATTTTCTTTTCTCGGGAGTACTGCAACCACTTCAATGATCCGCAGTAATCTGGAAAACCACTGATACACAGCTGAAATAAATTAGCTTTCAAGTTTTGGATTAATTAGAGGGTAGCACACCACAACTTCATTTCGGGCTGTATGAGCTATGCACTGACAGCCCACATTTTGACAAATGTTGTTCTACACTGTTTGCCAGAACTAAATCCATAGCAACCATTGCTCAACAGTAGGTTAATGCCCTCATCCTTAAGGGAATAAAAATAGATTATATTCAGGGTAATAAACATTTGCTAAAGTCACAGATGTAGTGCCTTTGCACAATTTCTTATCACTCACATCTTGGGTAGAACTTAATTGCCTCTTCCCAGGTATTAGGGAGGGTACGAGGGGATGCAGGGTGGGGGCACTGCTGCCTTCTGGGAACCAGATGGGTTTTTACAACAATCAATGATTGTTCTATTACTGATGGTTAGTTTTCAATTTTAATTGACTTAAATTTCTGTCAGTCGCCATGGCGGGATAATGAACCCATGTCTCCACAGCACTAGTCTGGATCACCAGTGCAGTGAGATTACAAACACTTCTCCAAAGTATGTGCAGTGGTTATCCGCATGGTCTTTTCAATGCTTTAAAACAACAACTCAGTTACCTGGCTCCTTCTTGACCATAATCACTGCCATCACTAACTACGTCCTAGGACAGAGAGTCATACAACATAGAAACAGACCCTTCGGTCAGACTAGTCCATGCCAACCATGTTCCCAAATTAATCTAATCTCACCTGCCTGTGTTTAGCCCATATCCCTCCAACTTTTCCTGTCCATGTACTTATCCAATTGTCTGCTGTATCTATACCTGCATCCACCACTTCCTGTCAACATATTAAAAGAATTTATACATATTGCTTTTCAACAGTTTGTGGCAGGAAAATGTGCACTTGAAGCATCTTTTGTGTGAACAATTGTTTTTCTAACGTCTTCCATTTAATTTTATTTGTTATCGTTTTAAACATCTTGTCACTGTTTCTCTAACATTTATAACCGAGCTTTTAATAAAAAGCATTTTTTCAATACCTTTACATAACTGTAACACTCATCCTGATAACATGCTGGAGAATACATGTTACATAGTTTCCATTTTTCTATTCTTATAATGATGGGGAGCCCAAAGCTGCACAGGACATTCAGACTCTGGTCTAACTAAAGGTTTTGTTGAAGTTCAACTCTCTCCCTACTCTTCTATATTCTGCGCATTTAAATTTAAAAAAAACTAGGTTCTATTCCTCTTTTTACGGCTCTTCCGACATTCCAACACTAACTGCACATCTAATGTCATAAGTGTTTTGAGATGTTTCAAGGCCATAAAAAAACCCATTGTAACAAAAAGTTTTTTTTATTTTCTTACCTTTATCTACTTCACCATCTTTAATGACCTGTGCTTTGTACCACAACAGCCTACAGCTGTTCCACTTCATTTCCTACTTAAGATGTATCTCAAATCGATATTCTTACTTCCAAGTATATTGTTTCACTGAAGTGTCGTGGCCATTACCTGCACACCAGCATGGACATCTCCAGTCTCCGCAAGCATCCCCATAATGGGCAATGCATAAATTCAAAAATTTGTACAATAGTAAGGATGCAGTGTTTTATTTAGCAACAGTTAGGAAGAAAATTGTAAAAAGTAAGGGACGGTTGCGAGGAGAAATTGAGGTAAAAGGAAGACTAGAAAGGCAAAGACAGATTTTTGCTGTTATTTAATTGTTCAGGATTATAATAACAAAACAACGACTCTTGGTTTTGAGCATGACTGTGTTAGGATTTATCTTAGCGCTATGGTGTGTGAACTGAATACTTCAAAAAAAAACAAAAGCGCAGGAAGGCTGGAATAACCTTAGGGCAGAGGGCAAGCTGAAACTCTCAATCATGTCTTTGTTAGGTCTAGGCTTTTTTTTAAAATTCACTCATGGAATGCTGGTATCTTTGGCCAGGCCAGCATTTATTGCAATTCCTTTCTTAACAGACGCTGGTGAACCAGATGAGTTTTTCTGACAATCGGCAATTGTTTCATGGTCATCATTAGACTGTTAATTTCAGATTCTTTATTAAATTCAAATTCTACCATCAGCCATGGTGGGATATGAACCCAGGTCCCCAGAACATTAGCGGAGTTTCTGGATTAATAGTGTAGCAATAATATCATTAGGCTATTGTCTTCCCCATATTAACTTAACCATGCTAATGCACAGTTGGTTAGTTTCCCATATTCCACCCTCCACAAATTTGAGGTCACCCAAAATTCTGCTGCCCATGTTTTGTTTCACATCACGACCTGTCCCCCTATTACCCCTGTACTTGCCATTGTGCTTTGACCGTCTGCTCTGGCTTTTCCCTGAAATGTACAATGTATAATCTCGTGCCTTACCTCTGGTTGTATCGCTTTGAATACTGGGACGTCCATTAAAGTGATCTGACTCTGTAATACACAAGGTAAATCAGTCACTTATTTTTTAATCCTGACATTATTTTAGCCATACGTGCGCAACATCTTGTGGAAATTTCAAAACTTATACAATTTCATTCTCGTTTGTACAAACCAACTTAAAGCTCTTTATTTGTGAAAATATTTGTAATCAATTCATGATTTTTGAAGAGGGTCTCCTTATTTACTTTTCTTTATAGATATTAAAAAGCATTTGTTTTGTCTTAGATTGTATCTAATTGTATCAATTTTTGTATTTAATTGTATGATTGTGTCATTATCAGAATGGCTACAATAGAACAATTTAGGGTTTTAAATTAATTTGCTAAATAGGCAAATTCATAGAACCAAGTCTGTGCCATGAAACATTCAAGTTGAAAATTTCTAACATGTTCCCAAATTTCCAAGAGGAAAATTGATAGGATAGGAACTGCAAATTGCTACTCTGTACTGCTCGAGAAGTGCATATCCAGAAAAGCAGCTCTTTCACTGCGAAACCTCTTCTAAGGATGCCTAACCTGAAGAAGTTACACCCCTCTCTTTCAAATTCTGTCAGCTTTGCACATTTAGGATTATTTAAAGCTTTACTGTATACAATTTTAAAATATTATGCTATAAGAATGTCCTGTAACACATCTGTGCTCACACAACAAAATTAGAAACTCCATTCGAAAGATGAGATGCCAACAGTTCAAAATAATATATTGCCTTTCTTGCCAGCATCACTTTTGGACCCAATGGGCTAAACTGGCGATTTTTATGATGCTACAAGATGGTGTCTTTTGGGTTTTTCTACTGTTAGAGTGTGATGAACAAAGACAAAAACTCATTTGAAAGAAAGATTGCAAATGAAGTTTGCAGTGGAAATAAGAGGGATTTAGTGGGCAAATACCTTCAAGGGCAAAACAGGAGAGGTTAGAGGTCAGCAGATATTAAAGCAGTGATACCAGCACAACAAGGGCTGTTAAAATAGCTGGAAACATGACTCAGAGAAAAAAACATAAACAAGAATTAAAAGGAAAGAGAAAGGAATGTGGCAGGCAGTAAGAAAATAAATGAGAATATCAGCTATTGAGGTGTAGAGGACAATAGCTGATCTACAAAGGGGGTCTACAGTGGACAACCAAAAAGCAGCAGCTGTAGAAGTGATACTGGACGAGGCATGAGTGTGGAGTGCCAGAGGGATTGGGAATGATGTGAGAAAAGGGTGAAGAGTAATAGCAGTCATGGTAGAAAATGTGGGAAGAATTTAAGAATCTAGCACTGGATCTGTCCTCTAAATAGCAGCTACTGCAGACCAGTGCTGATGTCTCAAGACTGTGCCATTAACAGCAGGTACTACAGCCCAATATCAATTCTTCTTGTGAAGCGTTTTTGAATAGTTATACAGTGCAATTTAAATTCAAGAATTTCTTTTTGTTAAATGAACACTTTGATTTTCTATTTGGCCAGAGGAAAAGGAAAAAAAAAACAAAGATCACCAGACATACTCGACAGTAAATAAACTTTGAAGCCCAAATTACAAACAGATTACATCATGGCTCAGAATTTGCAGAAGCTCAGACCTGAAATGGGATATGGCACATGTAATAAACTCCATGGAAAATGTACACTTACTGCAAACTCCTCAGGTGTTACTTTAAGCACATCAAATACAACTGCGTCATAGCTTTTCATTGCATAGTCAGCATAGGGTCCATCGAGAGAGTCTGAACTACTACTGCCCTGAAAGAAAACAAGAGAACCTTAAATGTAACTCCTTTGAATAAGCATTAACAAATATGTCTTCTTGCAAAATTCTCTCAAACATGGTAATGCTTCTGAAAGGATCATCAAGTGACAGAAATGGATGTTTTTTCACACTTAAAGCAAATTATCATCAGACACTGCATGATATATTGTCAAAAACAGCACACTTCCAATAATGATAAATCTTCATCATGATTTTAAATGAAACTCCTACAAACAAAGCAGTTTTTAATGATGTTACTGCTGATGAGTTGGCTTTGTTAAAAAAGCTTCTGAAGGTTCTGCAATAACTTATGTACACAACAAATCTCTACATTTCAATAGACGGTGGGCAACATTACAGGAAATTTACACAAAATAAGAGCTATCTTAACCCAGTTAGGACCTGGATTCATTTGCTGAGAGGTAGAGGAGGCACCTTCAAAAGAGAACTCGATAATAATCTGAAGAGAAAGCACATGGAGAGCTAAGGGCAAAAGGTGAGAGTGTGAAATGAGGCAGAGGATGGCACAGACATTCAAACACAATAGCTCCATAATTCTAGCACTGAATGCAAGATGGAGGAAGTCCCAAGCCTCACCTGCTCAAAGCTCCTTCTATGACCATAGCTAACTGAGTTCTCCTTTTTGTTCCCCCATCAGAAGGAGCATCTGGGGTCCCAGAATGATAATGATGGCTACCAAGGGTAAAGATGGCACAAAAGTTGAGCACCAATTCTGCTTCTAAGTGGGTAGGTACACCTTGTTCAAGTAGAACTATGTCTGCCAACCATGCGTTAGGTCCTGCTAGATGGCCCTTGATATAGGTGATGACCAATGCTAACTCCACATGCACCCTTCCTCTGAAGGCAGTGGTGATATGTAGATAAACAACAATGAAGATTCTCAGATATTTCAGCTCAAGGTTGGGATCTGCAGAGTTTCAGTCCCAAAGCGTTGACCCGTTAAGCAGAAAGCTGGGGGTCGGCATCCCAATGCCAAGATACCCAGCAACAAATTAAGTCTTAGACTAGATTTGCAGCACCTTGCTGTGTACCTACAGGAGAAGAGTTTTAGGAGGAATAAGGATAGGGTACAGCAAGATCAGTTCATTTTGAATTGCAACTGTGTTGTGCCATTTCGAATAGATACAGCAAGTGGAACTGTCCGCCACAGTAAACATTCCACAGAGAATTAAACACCACAAAGAATTCAGCAATTTGAAAGGGACTTTTTTTTTCAAATTAATGCAGAGGCAATTCTGAGTCATTCAACCAGAAACCAATCAGACCCTGACAGACAGTGTGCAAACTAAAGTGTCGTTCAGAATTGACCAGGATAGAGACACTGGTCATACTGGTACTGAGTGTTAGATGAGCTGGAAACAAGAATGTTCCTGTTGTTTTGGTGAGAGAGCAGACTGCAGGGAGCTCCTCACATTTTCTTCTCTCTTTTCTTGGGCTGTCACTGGGGGAGTTGACATGTTATTACTCAATGATTAAAAATGGATGCTTCTTTAAAATTGAAGTCAATTCTTAGGCCCTCAGAATTCACAAAAGAGAGGGGAGAGAGGATAGGAAACGGTTTAAATCACAATGTCACGAACAAAACCAGAAGTTGCCAGAAAAGCTCAGCAGGTCTGGCAGCATCTGTGAAGAAAAAAAAAAATCAGTTGTGAATGTTTTGGGTCTGATGACCGTTCCTCAGAACTTGGTTAGGAGGGACGGTGAATACCCGACAGGAGGTGGGGTTGGGGGAGGGGATGGAGTCAGAGAGGAGGGGAGGAACGTTCCAGAGGGCTGTGGGTATCTGTGAATTGTTGCAACTTGTGGGCCTTGATGCCTGAAAGGAGATGAAAAAGTTTCTTGTTAGCACGGCGAATGAGCTGGAGGATGAAGTGGAACTGCGGAGTGGTGCAGCCCTGAGCCAGTGTGTTACGATGCTGTTGGAGAGAAAGGTTGAGAGTGTGCATGTGACGCCGCATGGCCCTGAGCGTGGATCTCAGGATGCGGCGAGAGCAGCTGTCTGTTGAGCATTGAACATCACGGAGATATCTGTGATCCTGGGAGGATTCAAAACATGAGGGATAAAACTTCAGTTGGAATCCATGTGGGGTGAGTCTGAGGCGGAGGCAGTCACTGAGGAATGTGGTATGGCTGTGGAAATGAGTTTTAGCAAATACCTGGTCAAACACCAGGAGTGACAGTGAAATTAATGTCAGTGGAAAGATTAGAACAGAAATCCCGTTGGAGAGAGGAGCAGAAGTTCTTCAAGGTAGGCATACCCAGAAAAGATGTGGCAGTAGTTAAATACTAAATAAAACCCGAAAGAACTGCGGATGCTGTAAATCAGAAACAAAAATAGAACTTGCTGGAATAGCTCAGCAGGTCTGGCAACATCTGTGAAGAAAAAATCAGAGTTAAAGTTTCGGGTCTGGTGACCCTTCCTCAGAACTCGGAATTTAATAATTGCTGAGACAATAGGAGTCTCTGTTGCTGAACCTACCAACGTTCACTGGACCAGCAAATCTCACCCTGTTTTGAATTGCAAATGTGCGCACCATGTCCCACAGGGAGGGCTGGATCTCAGGCCACCTGTTTGAGCGGCAAGAACTTTGACCAGAGGATAACTAAGCAGGGAGAGTCCTAGGATTCTGACCCGCACTCAGGAAACTCAGAGGCTAAATCCAGCACATTTCAAAAAAGGTTTTAAAACTTACACTTTTGGCTTCAAAGTAACAATATGGGTCTGGGCATCTAGTTGAGGCCTATTAGTTAGGCAGAATGTGGAGATTAACTAAGCCTACCTTTCCTAATCCGACACCTTATCATTCTGAGGGCTGGAAAGTAGGCCTGACACAAGCTTCACCTGCTCATTCATTGGCAATCTTACTTAAGGCTGGTTATACAGCAGGATTGTACATGAGGTTGTGCAGCAGATTCCCAGAGGTTAAGTCCCTCAGCATGACCAACTCCTTGCCTAACCGGTGGTCCTTTAGATGCACTCCCATGGAAGCTATGGCAGCTCTGCACTTTAACATAACAACAATTTCCACATCCCTTGATTGGTTTCTGCCAAAGAAAGAACTCTGAATTTGCTGCCAGCTTATCAGAATTGGTGAATGCATTTCCTGTTGTTTTAAAAGTCATACTCTTTCCGAAAGTGCAACGTTTTCACATCTTCAGGTCCAGCAATGAGGCATGTGCATGTAAACAGTTGTCTTCAGACCTGGTGACTTCCAAACATCAACCACATTGAAGTTTTTGGGCAATCTCCTCTCCAATCAAATCTACTTCATGCTGTACATAAGGTTACATTGACAAAAGTTCAATTAACTTTTTCAAGGTGGCCAAACATTTGCACATCCACCAAACTGCCAGGTACAACAAAGTGGTAACATGGTTAGCATTACTAATATTTCACACAAGTATCTGATCTGTAGCAATAACTTGAATCTAAAAATCACTTCCAACGTAGTAAAACATCAACACAGTTCTTACAAGTAACATCTAATGGGGGAGGAAATAAGAGTCCTTTTGAGAAAAAGTAAGGAACAAATTATGTAGGACAATAAAATCTCAGGACATGATCCCCTGGCCAGATTGTAACAGACATTGAGACAGGACATAAACCAGGTTTGCATCAGTCTGTAAGTTATTAAGTATCATATTTTATCTCCCATCTCAGGAGTGTCATTTACAACCCTAGAGATACGTTTGTGTTCCTTTTGGAACAGCTCCCTGATCAAAATACTTTGAAAACTCAATGACCTTTCTAATTTGGATTGGGGTGACTACGTGCATTTCTATGAAATAGTTACTGAACAACAAAGATAAAGTAATTGATGGGAAAAAGGCAGGAAATGACACAGCAAAGGATTAACACATGACATAACATTGGAGATTGATAGGTTTAGTGTTGAACAGAATTATAACTTAAAACATTTAGCCGTAATGGCAGAGATATGTTTGTAAAAACATCCCTTCCACTAAGTGAAGCAACAACAGCTAGAGGACAAGGTAACAGCCCTATAGATAAAACTAATGACCATATTGTAGCCTGCTGGATCTTCATTTCAAACTCTAATGCTGCAACTACAACCTAATCTTCACCAAAATTACATTGCTTTCCCTTGGATGATGGTGCCATACAGATCCAGTGTTTTAGCAACAAACTAACAAAGATAATTCACATGTATTTAGTACCCCTCAGTCAACTGGCTGGGATGGTCTTCTTCTGGGTGTTAGAGGTGCTGTGTTTGGTGAGGTGCTGTCAGCAAAACCTTGTAGTGTGATTGAAGTTACCTGGAGGTGGTACACACAGCTGCCATTCTGGGTTGAAGAAAGTAAATGCTTAAGGTGGTGGATGAGATGCCAATCAACCAAGCTGCCTTGCCCTAGATGGTGTTGAGTTTCTTAAGTCTTATTGGTCATCCACACGAGTGGAAAATATTCTATTGCACTCTTTACTTGGGCCTTGCAGATTGTGGACAGGTTTTGTGGAGTCAGGAGATCACCTACTGAGACATATCCAACCTCTGGTCTGCACTTAGCCACAGGACTTTTGTAGCCAGTCCAGTTACGTTGCAGAATCCAGAGATTCCGCAATGACTGCAAATAAATGGCAAAGAATGGAGACTAGATTCTTGCTTGTTAGAGATGGTCATTACCCGGCATTCGTCAAATGCATGTATTACTTTGCCACTTATCTGCTGCAACCCTGGTGTTGTCCAGGTCTTTCCGCATGTGGACTTCATCAGCAGAGAAATTGGAATTGGAATTGGAATTGGAATAAACCCAAAGCGGTTAAAAATACCAAGGCTCAGATCTCAAAGACACATTGGATCAACAGACTGCACTTTCACCTCTGGGACCTGGCTTTGAGTGCAACCTAGACACACGGAATAAATTTTTTCTCCTGTTCAAGCCGACCGTAAGGATCCTACAATATTGACATGATCATAATTCTTCACAGATTGTCAGCAAATTAGAACTGTTA